GGAAGGGGAGGGGGGTTAAATGGGTTGTACGAGATCGGAGCAGGAGGATTCGCTGAACTTAGTTCAGTCGGTGCATGCGAGCGGAGCCAGACGGTTGTGACTCCCCTCTCGTCCTCAGTCTCACTGTCACACTCCAGTATTCCATACTGTCATTGTTTTTTATTTTGTTACTTAAAAAAACAATTTACAGACATATATCCATTCTCCAATCATTCATCACTGTCACCACCTACCAAAATTCTTCCACTTCTCTCTCATCGATTGAGTTATTTTCCAAAATGATGATTCAATCGAGGCAATGATTTTATCCATCAGCACTTTTTTTTCGAATTTTTCATTTTAATCGAACGGAGAATAAATAATAAATCAGTGGATTCAGTGATTATTTTTAATGGTGTGCAGTGTTATGTCGGGGGGACGATAGATTATCGAACTGGCTCCCATGCTCGACTCGTAGAAAAACACCAGAAAATTATTGAAGAGTTGATTATTATTCTCATAGAGATGATGATGACGAGCGGTGAATCTGCGTTTTGATCAGTCGATCTTGGTACTCTATGATAATGACAATGATGAAATCGTGACGCGAACAGGTGGTCAGATATTTGTCGCGGGTAACAATGTCAAGGTGGTGATTTTAAAGTTGAAAAAAAAAGGAGGGAAAAGTTTTTGAAATGTCGAGACTATCGAGTCGCGTATCATCGACCGCAGCCGGTCTCGCGATCGTTCTGTTGGTTGTGTTTCTCGTGATACTGTGGACCGGTGTTAAGACCACAGGATCTGTGAAAAATGATGAGAATCGGGTGATAAATACATCCCGTCTGCATCGAGATTTCAAGGACAATTTAAGGGTTGTTGATGTGCAGGAGAATGATTCCGGTGGTGAATCTCCGGAGATCAATGATGGTGAGTTATCTGTTATTATTTAATGAATGATTGTCAGAAGATTGAGGTCGATGTGACGAGAGGTTGACAACAAGACTGATTTTTAGTAGCATAATCAAACGGCTTTTTTTCCGGGGCTTTTGCTCTTTTCCCTGATGGACGGCTGATTGAAAAATGCGTGTCGAGCGGTTTCGTATTTCTGCCGGTGTCAGTGGATTAGGATCACGTGTTGTAAGACACGTATGTGTGCCTCTCGGCTTTCATGCGAAATATCATGCACTGCTTTTTTTTTCTTTTTACGCGGGTACGAGGAATAAAATAGTTTTTTTTTTAATTGCCGGGGGTTACCTTGTCAAGTCTTAATGACAGAAGCCTATTAGCATATTTAGGTGCGGATTTCAATGACTAGATCTGCGCGGGAATGTATTTTTCTTCTCTGCCGACTAGTTTTGAAACGTCAGGCTGATAACGAGCTGTGTGAGTTTGATATCACAATTGCGAATTTTGATGGCTTGTAATGCAGGTGGGAACAAGCAGCTTCTTGTTTGTCGAGTGGTCAACACTTCAGTCGGTTGTACTGGCAATTTGCTTTTGGGAGGTAATCCTAATGCCATCTTGAGTGGTTATTGGGGATTATTTTTTATTTTCCCAAAAAACGATTTAAAAACTTTTTTTTGTAATTTGAGACTTGGGAATTTAATTATGGGGAAAATATTTTAAAACCGTTCAGTTTTTTGATAATGGCTTCTTAAAAAATAATTATTAAAACTGCTTAAACGAAATTAATCAATCATTTTATTATGAAGAGTTCTATTTAGTGAAAAAAATTTTCAAATTACATGGTTTTTTTTTTTAAATTACGGAAAATCTGAGATTGTCCGAAACGTTCTTGTCTTGTGTAGAAATAATAAAAATTGTTCAATCTTAATTAGCGAAAATTAATTTTTGAACAAACCGAACGGTTTGAGTTTTTTTAAAATTATTTTTCAGCCATTGGAATTTTATTTACTCTCATGACCGAGTCATTATTATTTTCATCATTTACTGATTATAAATTAATTATCAATATCATTTAGACCCCATGGAGAATAATTTGTAGAGTAAAATAATAAATTGTGTATAAATATATTGCCAAAAAAAACGTGATACTCCACTATCTCTCAATGACTAAATTGTAAAGAATTCAAATTACGCGCAAGCTCATCGAATTTTTCGATTACATGGGATTAAATTGAATTTCAATTAGAAACGATCACTAAATTTCGTGCTGCTCCTGAAAATTGAAGAAATTTGAGCTTTTCATGTTAAATTATGATTGTCTTTCAGTGAAACCTCGAATTATTATACTCACGTATAAATTCCCCACAAATATAATTGAATTTTCAAAATATTGAAAAAACAGGAAAATCACTGATTGAATTCTCGAAATTTTTACGGTCTCATCTCAACTTAAAAATAGAGAATTAACAGAATATTCAAAAAATCAACCGATGGATCACTGAAAAATTCTACAGTAATTTCGCGTCACTTTTCCATTAAAAATTTCAAATATTTTTACCTGAAATTTCAATTGTAATTTCCCAACAGTGCACGAGACGAAAAAACAAAAGCACTTGGATGTGATTAAATAGCGAAAGAAAAGTTGGAGAAAATGAGAAGCACATCTCTCTCTCGTGCGAATAATAAAAATAGTTTAAACTTGGTAAGATCCGAGTAAGTGCATGATGTATGACTAGTCCCTCGGGGTAAGACAACCGCAAACAAAGTAAATAATCCGTAATGAATAGCATTCGCGGTTAGGGGTCAAGAATTATTATTGGACTCGCCAATTGAATATTCTATTAATAGTCTGCAAGTCAAAATGCGTAAAGTGCGCGGCGTTAAGAGGTTCATTGATGGTATTACCTCTATTGCGTTAGGTTATTCGTAAAATAAACTGATAGGATATGATACGCAAAGTTCTGAAGGTGAAAGTCCAGTGCAGCCGAGACACTAAAACCCGATAATGCACTGGACATTCCCAGGGCGATATTAGTCTCGTTCAGGTCTGCTTGGTACTTTAATTATTGCGTTACCGGCTTATTACAGCCACTGGTTAAATGCTTTTTTCTGATTTGATGGGGTAATAAGGGAATTAACGGGAAATTAGTGAATTTCTAATTACTTTTATTGAGGGAATTTAATTTTGAGTCACACTCGGGGAGATTGTTTATGGGGTTTTAAGGAAACTTGTTGCTTTCGAAAGTTCTGTTCCCACAGACTTCACTATCAATAGTATTAAATTCCTAACATGATCCATAAATTTGTTTATTTATCCAATAATAAAACCCTTTTTTACCTCCAGGCAAAATCCATTAACTCCACGAACTATCGATTCTAACTATTTTTTTTTATAATATAAACAATGTTTATTCAAATTGAGTTAAAAAATTGCTTATTTCATGGGAGAAGAGACTTAATTTGTTAAGAACTAACGAATAGCTTTTATAGTTGAATTGTAGAATTGAGGAATTCTTTCAAAAAATAAAAATATACGCTCAGAAAAACATTGGGGGAATTTGAATAATTAGTTTATTAAAGATTTTAGAGAATGATTTTTTTGTGCGGTAACAATGCAACTATTTTACCAAAACATTTAGCAACTTGTTAATAATTTATCTTTTCGCCCGCAATTTTTTTCTCTGGGTCCTCAAATGAATCAGTAAATCATGAGTGCAATGATCACATGTTCCGCCGAGTGTTCCGAGAAAAAAAAATCTTCAGGACTGAGGACAAGTCCGGGTAACGCCGTTCGGAAAATAAGAAACAAACGGGGATAAAGAAACAAATTTGCCAGACGAGTTGTTATGAAAGGTCTCAGGTCTCGAGTGTCAATTAGATGATTCTGTACGATACGTGGGACAGAGAGGGAATATCTCTCGAGATGGGGCATTTTGCGAAATGATTTGCGGGACGAAATAAATATTTATACGAGATGAGATTCGTGTGTCGCCTCTGCTGCATCGCGAAACAATGTTCAGGTCGTTGACACGAGAAATTCCATTTGTTTCTTACAAAAAAAAAACAAACAAATTCAATTCTAAATTATTATCGAGTTAAAAATATTCGCGTTTCGTTTTTTCAACATGTTTTTTGTATTGATGAATTATCCAAATCAGTAAAACATTGGAAAACGGAATTTTCATTTGTTTAAGAGTCGTTGTTTATAAGCATTTTTTAAATCTTTTTAATAACTAATTATTTTTAATAACTAAAAACTCGGAAGCAATGATTTTTTTATGTGATAGACGGCAGTGGTAAAATATATAGAAAATGTATATAAAGGATATATTTTATATATTTTTCTTATCTGCTTACGTTGGATCAATAAACATTTCTCTTTCCACTATTGAAAAATTACACTTGAATGACTTGCAATTCTTAGCAGGAACATAGTGACATACAATTTTTGTAGAATTCTTCAATATTTTCTTAATATTCCATTTTTTTAAATTCAAGTAAAATAAGCATTGAATTTTCGATCTATTAAAAATCCACTTGTATCTGGTGATTAATCTCCATGATGAGCATGAAAGTTCAATAATCATTTAGCATGAGAAAGTGGATTTTTTACAATTTTCAAGATGAATAAGAAATTCAGTGAACGTTTTTAATTGAATTTCAATTCAAACTCATATAATTGAAAACTCATATGACTTTGCGACTGAAATTTCAAGAAATTTTTAACAGTATATTTTGAGAAAATATAAAGTTTTCCACGGAGGAAGTGCTGGTACTGATTGTTAATTTTATTAAGCGATATTGTTTACGCATTGTCCATTATTTATATCGAATGAATGCGACAACTGGATTGAATTTGAGAGAAATGGTCTCTGGGCAGACGTCCAATTGGACGAGGCCAGGGACATTACCACTGACGATCGAATCTCCCAGCATTAACTCTCCAATTTCCACGAAGTCAAGGCGAATAATTATTACAATTGTGAGGATCGTACGAGAGTCGGACAAATGCAAAAGAGGGGCGAATGGAATTTCGAGATTAATTGGATGATTTGTGGAGCGACGTGATTTGCCGGACGACAATTCTTTACATTTTTTTTCGAGGTGTTATTGCACGTGGTGCGAACAACGCGTGCTCTACCGACACTTTTCTCATTAATATATGTGTCACTTATCTACTCATCCCATATCCCATTCCCAGATATCATATTTTATCGGGAGAGTAAGCAGTTTTTTTTTCTACCGAGAAGTAGTTCAGATCCGTGAAAACTCGAGGGATGAAGTAATCGTCGGGAATAGTGCGAAAAGAAATCCAATCTATTTGACTTTTCCGGGAATTTTGGTCATTGTTTTCCAACCTAGCGTTTCAGCCAATCAGAACGCAGTATTCGGGGCTGTCAAACAGTTTTATTTTGGTAATTTAACATTAATATTTGTTAACAAATTCAATTGATGAATTTGTGAACTAAATTGCGTTGAAAGTTGTTTTTCTTACTTCTCTCTTAATGATGAATGTCGACAACAATTTTTTTAGTTAAAATCAATTCATCAATAAATTCACGACTTTAATAAGTGGTGAGAGCATACCATTAGTATTATTAATGAAAAAATGTATATTGCGAAAAAAATCTTACATCACTTTTGGCGGAATTCCATTAAAAGATAAATTTCTTTTATTGTTTATTCAATTTTTCCTCACATTCTTTCATTGT